GTGCTCTCAAATAAAGGAAGTCTTTGTCTTCTTTCTATCTGTACCCCAATGGTTGTAGAGAAATATATCAGAAAATAAGATCATAAGCAGATCAAACCCAGCCATAACCAACTGTCAAAGACTGTCAGTCATACCTACAACCCAACAAAAGTAAGCTGTCCACCCATTCTCCCTGCTGAAGGAGTAGGTTCCTTAATAACCCCAACTCCTCCCCTTCCCTGTTTGGGTTAAGGGCAAAGACTCGTCCCATGGCCAGCCAATCTACAGACTGTTCACTGGACTAAGATGTTGCCTGGCCAATAAGTGCTTACCCAAACAGACCAGAATGCCTACTTCAGGAATCTGAATAGAGAAATACGGCGGGCGATGCGGGAGGAGGGGGAGGAAGCAGGCCATTTAGTATCCAGGAAAGAATAGAGAAGACACTAGATGCATTGTGTCTTCATATTAAAGTTGGGCACCCAGAGTGAAATGAATAGACTCCTACTCCTGAGGATCCCAGACTTGTTTTGGATTCCAAATCATTTACCAGTTCCTGTTCCACGTATCACAGGGTTTGTTCTGCTATGAACTCTGCTCTTGGGTTTCTGAGACTTTCTTGTTAAACAATGTGTGTATACTGCTGCATTTATTTCTTCTTAATTATTGGAATAGGTGACTATCTAGTCTTTACAACCAAAAGAGCGGAATAAAAATCTGCACAATTATTTTGCTATATTACATACTACTAAATTCTATTTAGTAGAATATACTTCTATTTGGTAGAATAAATTCTAATTAGTAGAATAATAAACTATTTTGTTATACTATACACTATTAAATTAATAGGGATTTGGCGTCTGATCTGCTGATTCCAGAGCTTTATTTATAATTGCTACATTATACTGCCTTTTACTCTTTTGGCTACTCCAACTGGCTCAATTATAAGCATTGAGAATCTTAAGAATTCAGTAGGACCTGCCAAAAAGAGATATTTAGTACCATGACTTACCTATCAGCCTAAAGATCACTTTTTTCCCCAAGACCAATTCCGTATTGCATGGGAATAAATTTTAAGCATTTGATTTTATTCCATCCATAAATTCTATATCATTAAGAAGCTGGATTTTTTTTAAATGACGTGAAACTATATCCAAAAATATGTATATCGATTATGTATGAAAGTAATGAATGTTCTTACAGGAGGGCAAGCAAGCATCTCTGTAGAGAAACTCTTTGGCCAATAAAGTTAAGCCAAAGGGTTCCAACCTCTGACTTATTCGTGGCACTCAGCCCTGTGGACTTAATTTTCATCAATAAAAATGAGTTCTGCATGCCTCACAAAAGAACACAACACTTGGATCCTTCCCTGAATTCTGATTCTCAATACATCTAGCTCATCAGATGCTAGTAGGAATCCTCGTTCACATATTTTAATTTAATGTTAGCATTTCTCCATGGGCTCATTAACTACCTTCCAGTGCAGATTAACCAATGAACCCTGAAAGAGGTCTCCAGTTGCTCTGCAAGGGTGATGAGCAATTCTCACCTTGCACTTCAGCCAACAAAAATGTTGTGCCATTTTACAAGCAGTAAAGCCCCAGAAGGCCACACGATTCCATGGCATAATATATGCAGAAAAATAATAAAAGGTTTTATGGCTCCAGGAGTGCCAACCAGTCTCAGCAGTGCCCCAAGGCAGGTAAAGCTGTGTCCTCACTCAGCCTCATGCCCTGACAACTTTAACCAAGGGCACTTAGGCTTGAAGTACCTGGTCTGCAATATAAAAACAGTCCTGGATTGGGGTTAACCACTTACACGAGATTCTGCCTAAGTGCATTTATATCTAATTGGAATTTTATTTAACAAATCAGGGGAACTATTTACTTAAATCATTAAAGCTAAGTTATTTTAATGAATGGGATGTTTTTATAGTCTTGGCAAGCCAAGAAAGTTATATTCCACCGCCTACTGGGAAAGAAACGACATTTGCTGCTGGAAGTCCAGTTGGATATTAGCCTCTGGTAGCTGACTTCCATCCAATCAAAATGTTCCTTGAAAAGATTTCCCTACTCCCTGATAAATTTCTTGTACATACATCATGATGATAAATGTACACAGTGATATTATCGGGAAGTGGGTAAACCTTTCAAAAGTTACCATTTTATTATAGACCACTCTACACGGTCAGTACACCGAACAGGAGATGCCGGGAGTGGCAACCCCTAAAAAATAAAGTGAACAAATGGGGGTGCAGATGATAATCCAAGTAATTTAAGAGGAATTCCTTCCACTAAAATCATTTATAACATTTATTCATTTATTAAAATTTTAAAGTTTGTATAAATTTTTCATATATAGATTTGCTCGTGCCTAAAGACAAATTATGAACTTCATGTCCTAGATGACGTTTGGCCTAAAATGGCATGGAGTACCAGAAGGCAATATCTGTCATTTACCAAATATTTGTCACTTTGCTTTTGCATTCATATAACTCTATATGTGTATATTCGATATGTAAATCTACACACATAGATATTCTATCTATACAAACACAAACATATATATATTCCTAACAACACACATATAGTTTTTTCCGCACTCAACTCTAAGGTAATCACCACCCAAAATATAATTGCTTACAGATTCTGTTTAGTTTCCTAAGATTTCTTGATCTTACAAACATTAATCTGGTCCAGGAAATTACACTGGCTAGATGCCTTCATGAAACATTGACTGGATTTCAAAAGAAATTCTATTTCTTCAGAAAAAGAAAGATGTGATGTCCACAAGGTCTTTGTGAGAAGACAAAAAGATCTGAGTGATTTAAATCTATCCCTACTGCCTGCAGGTGAAAAAGCATGTGTGTCCCAAATGTTGAAGCTGTCACACGTGTTCTGCCCATATTCCTTAACCATCTAGAGGTGCAGCAGGTCTAGGCAGCTGTAAGCTAATAACTCATTTGATAGTATGTTCTGTTCTTATCCAGACACATTTGTGTTAGTGAATCCAGAAGTTTTCGATTTTTCCTAATGGCTTCAATTGGATGATTTCATTCAGGCAAGCTGCCTCTTCTTTTTATTTCTAAGCCTTTCCTGTGAGTATTCCTACACCAGGGGAAAAATATGTTTTTGATTTAACAAAGAAACATTACCTAAAATCAAGATTTTCAAAGTAACAATGTCTTCATATTTATAGACTACCTTTCTTTTCCTGATTAAAAAAAAAAAAAGTGCAAAGGTGACTCTCATCTATCACAGAAAACTCTACCTTTCCCCATACAAAAATGTCACCATCAAGCTGCCAACAGTATTTCCTCCAATCTCACCAGATCATTTTTCAAAGTCTGACTTAACTCATCACGATTTAACTTGAGATTGTGGACAACAGACTCTAGGAGGATGTGACTATAAAAAATGGAGATATTAGTTTTAAAATGCATAAAATAAGCCCACTAACTCTCTCAACAGGACTGCTATATTTATTACTGAGTAACATATTGACATGGTAAATAATCTATACTATGTTAATTATATCACTACATAGAATTCATCGGTTTAGAGCAACACTGTCTAATTGAAACATAATACGACCCACAAATGTAATTTAAACTTTCTCATTTTACATTCAAAAAGTAAAAAAAAATTGAAATTTAATAACATATTTTATTTAACCCAATATATCCAAAATAGTATCATTTCAACATGTGGTCAACAGTAAAAAATTATTGAGATATTTTACATTCTTCTTTACAAAATTCATGGTGTTTTGTTTACATCTGCAGCACATCTCATTTCATACTGGCTGTGTTTCCAGTGTTTAGTAGCTCCAGGTAGGCAGACAGCGCAGATCTAAAGGGGTGGGCATTAAAGGACTGGATAAGCACTGTATGCTCACTACCAGCTCTCTCAGCTTTAGATGTGCCAGTACATGTCAGAAGTTTAAGTTGGCCAGTCTTTTACATCTGCCATGCTTGTTTCTTTAGAGACTGAAAACCAGTACCTAAAGTTCAAATTACTTTTCATTGGTATTAGTTGTAACATGCTAAGAAAATAAATCAGTGGTTATTGATGTTGTATTTTTCTGCTGTAAAAAACTACCACAAACATAGTGACTTAAAAACAACACAAATTTATTATTTTACAATTCACGAGATCAGAAGTTTAAAATACACTGGCAGGGCTGCATTCTGTCTGGAGGTTCTAGAGAATTTGTTTCCTTGCCTTGGCAATTGTTTTTAGTAAGTAGGATTTGGCAGTTTCTGAAAGTAATTTAAACTGGAATTTTGTACCTTTCAACCTTTACCCAATTCAAAAGGTACAATGAGGTCAAAAGGTACAAACTACCAGTTATAAGATAAATAAGTCCTGTGGCTGTAAAGTACGACACGGTGACTATAATTAATAATACTGTATTGTATATTTGAAAGTTGCTAAGAGTAGATCTTAAAAGGTCTCATCACAAAGAAAAAAACCCTATGATCATGAAAGATGATAGATGTTAACTCACTGTAGTTCATGGTAATATCAAATTACCTTCAACTTATACAGTCTATATGTCAATTATATCTCAATAAAACTGGAACAAAGGAATTTAAATATATGTTCTGATGATTTAGTGAAATACAAAATAATAGGTATCTGAGTAGAGGCTGGAGAGAAAGACTCTCCAGGTATGTATTATCTATTTTTAAGCTGCTTTTCCAAATTTCCAGAACAAACCTTCACCCTCAGTTCCAACTAATTAGTGCCACACCTATCATGAGTAGGCATAAAGGTATACTTTCTCACAAATAATAAAGGATTTAACAGGAATCCTACTCTACTAAATTTATGTCATAAAGTAGAAAACATTTTAAATCAAATCAACAAATATTTAATGAGAACATTATGAGAAAGGCATAGTGCCCAGCTCAGAACATTCTATAACTTAAACTATAAATTCAACTTTCTGAAGAATAACAATTTTTAAAATTTCCCTTCTTAGCAAATCAGTATGGGCAAAATGGTCATTTTACTTACAAATTACTCATTGATTCCACTGGAATGCCGTTCTTTTACTGTTGTCTCTTCGACTTAACCTTCTTCTGAGGTTCTATTTATACACTAAAAGAGAGTAATGAGGCAGTAATTGAAATTTTAAAACATCTTCCTGGACCACCCGGACCACCGTATGAATCCCCCACTGCACCTTTTGAATGTGCTCAGGCTCTAACCTTCTTGTCCTTGGGGGATGTATTAGTCACCTTGGGCTGTCGTAACAAAATGTCATAGTCTGAGTGGCTTAAGCAACACTGTTCTAGAGACCAGAAGTCTGAGATCACGGTGCCAGCATGGTCGAGTTCTGCAGATGGAAGCCTTCTCACTGTGTGCTCATATGGCAGAGACAGACAGACAGACAGACAGACAGACAGCTCTCTGTTATCCCTACTGGTAAGAACATTAATTCCATCATTAGGGCCTGCCCTCACATGACCTCATCTAAACCTAATGACCTCCTGAAGCCCCATCTCCAAATACCATCACGTTGGTGGTTATGGCTTCAACATAAAAATTTGGGGGTTGCTGAGGGTGGGACACAATTCAATCCATATGAAAGAATACACAAGATCCCAGCAAAGAAGAACCCCAGAGAAAGTAAATGCTCTGGCAGATCTGACCAAAGTCAGCCCTTTGGTCATTCCCAAGCTCCCCTGAATGAGTATGTCTAACAATCATTTTAGTGAAAACTCGGTTTCAGAAAAACAATGAATTTCATTCACAATTTGTCTGTTTAAAAAAAAAAAAAGGCAAGTGTAGCCATTCGCCGTAGAGATTAACTGGAAAAGCTGTCTATTCTGAGTTTTATTCTATATAAACACAATGTAATTAAGACTTGTGTTGTGAATTTCAATAAAGCACGATTTAATACTACAGCAAGAGTGCCATTAAACTGTGAATATTAACTTTCCAATAATTTCTAGAAATTGTAATGAAATCTGTTTGGCAATAACATGACATTTTGACACCAATAAAAATACTTTATGTAGTTATGTAAGTGATAAAAATAAATGTTTTATAAAAATTTATCCAGAAGGACTTTTAACTAGGAAAAACAATCATAATTAACAAGATTTCATAAAGCATGCAGCAGCCAAAGATAACTTTTAGAGCAGCTGAAGGTGATGAGGTCATTGCTGGTCCTAAGTTCATAAGATCTGACCACCTGTAGAGATTTTTTAAAAGCACTTAAAAGAATTAATTTTCCAACTACGGACAGGCTGAGAGTCTCTCTCTTTTACGTGACTTTCTATTGTGCCAAAGAAATGGAACTAAACGCACACTTCAGCTTTTCAAGCAGCTGTTCCTATGGTGCAGGAGTAAGTGTGTAAACTCTACCAGTACCAGCTGGAAAAAAAGACATGAATCTACTATTTCCAAATGTATTATGGAGCCTAGATTTTGTTTCCAGGATAGAATGTGTCCAAAGTAACAAAATTTAAGAAGAGGGTTGTGAAATTATCCAGTGGATGAGTAATCATCTTGACAATTCAGCTGGCTGATACAAACATAGCTGTGCTGGCAGGTAACCCTATCATTTACTGTACTGGCCATTCAGTACTGGAGAGGTTCTTTTCAATACTTTTAATTGAGATCATTCTAGTACAAGAATATTAACAGCAACATCAGAAGAACAAAAATAAATTTTGTCAAATGTATTTTTCCCCCTCAATATGAACGTTACTTCCTTCAGGCCATAATAGATCAAGTAGATATAAAATAAGATTCTAGAAGATGTAAAGACCTAATTAATAAGGTAGTAATTTTATACTTTGAAATCAGAAATGAACTTTCTTTTCAAGAGCAGAGACTGGGAAAGACATTTTAAGCACAATACATGAATAAGAAGTCCAAAAAAATTTTTATAGTTTTTAAATATCTGCATAGCAAAAAATACTGTGAACAAAAGCAAAGGCAATAACAAACTGGAGGAAAATAACTACCAACCATGTATGAGAAATTTCCATGTAGTAGACATTTTGGGTTTTTTTTGCCCAGCACACTAATCAGTACCATAGTTTTGCTCTGGAGGTACCATTCTGGCTCTCTGGTTGTGCTGAGTCCCCACCCCAGACCCCAAGGAGATCACTTTACTACTTGGCCAGAGGATGGATTCGAGCATGAGCACATGATCCATTTGGAGCCAATAAAAAGGGATGAATGATAGGACTTTAGTTCAAGCAACTAGAAAAGACTCTTCCACTGAATTTGGTGGTGTGAGGCTATAAAGATACAGCCATCTTGGTACCAGTAGAAGGGCTAGCCTGAGGATGGAGCTGAAGAGGTAAAACCAAGGGATGAACCCCAGAGACATAATATCATTGCCTAAATAGATGAGACAGAAATAATAATAATACTCAAAGTCTTTAAATGTATTGAGCAGGGAGGGGAGGAGCAGAGGGGAAACAATTAGAAGAGATGTGAGGGCTAAATTGTGATATACAGAAAACCATGCAAATAAAAAAAGTGGTTATTACTAGGTGTTGTGGGTTGAATTGTATTCCCCCACCATATATATGTGCCTTATTTGCAAATAGGGTCTTTGCAGATGTAATCAAGTTAAAATGAGGTCATACTGAATTAGGTTGGGCCCTAAATTCAATGACGGTGTGCTTATAAGGAGAGAGATTTGGAGCTACAAAGACATCCAGGAAAGAAGGCCATATGAGGATTCGCGCAGAAACAGGAGTTAGGCTGCAGCATGCCAAGGAAGGCCAAGGCTTGCTGGTAACCATAGGATGCTAGAAGAGGCAAGGAAAGCTTCTTGCCTAGAGCCTTCACAAGGAACAGAGCCTTTCTGACACCTTGATCTTGGATTTCTAGCTTCCAAAACTATGAGAGAATAAATTTCTGTTTTTTTAAGCCAATCAGTTTGTGGTCATTTGTTTTGGCAGGCCTGAGAAACTAATACACTAGATAACAATTAACTACGAGGAAAAGCAAAAAGTTGTGCAACTGGTATAATACACAGATCAGTGTTGAATAGCATTTATATAGACAGAATAATGTAAAATAACATTGAGAAGATGGGGAGAGAGGGACTGGCAATTACACTTATTTACTGAAGGCAGGAGAATTAAACTGTTGCCTTTTCTCATGAGAACTTTACCTTCTACTATGGAAACTTGAACAGATAATGTTCAAGTTGAGAAACCGAGTAACACTGTTATAAGCTTGGTATACAGATAATAGAAATAAATGGCCAAAGAAACACCTAAGAGTTGAAAATGGTCACCTCTGGAGAATGAAATATAAGAAATTGGGTGCTAGAGTGGACTGTTTTTTCAAAACTATTTATGTAGAACTGTTTGGCCTATTAAACTACGAGTTATCAACTTCGATGAAAACAAAAACAAAATAAAAAAATATATAACCAAAAATTAACAGACAATTCACAAAAAAACTCAGATGATGAATATATGAACACACAGTTAACCTCAATTAGCAATTAAAAAGCACAATTAAAAATGTGTACGCACAAAAACCCTGCCAGTCCACTCTGGGTTAAATCATAGAAAAAAATTCTACAAGATCAGATAAAAATATATTTAAGAAAGTTAATTATAGTGTTGTACATAACAGTGAAAACCTGGAAAGAACTAAATGTTTATCAATTGATATTTATCCATTCCAGATAGAAAAATGTTTTATATTTTTAAAGAATAAAATACGTGACAATTAAAAGAAGTAAACTAACTTCATATATATATATATATATATATATAAACATAAACTTCATATAATGCTGAGTGAGAAAGTTAGAAGAACAATATGTCCAACCTAGTACCAGTTATACAAATTTGAAAACACATAAACACATGAATATTTAATGTAAAAGCATTAAAACATGGGTTGGATGGATACACACTGAATTGATGAGAGATGTTACCTTGGAGTGAGAATTACAAAATGGACCTGGACATGGGTACAGAATGAACATGCACTTCATTTGTAAATACTTTAGTTCTTATATTCAAAAATTGTTTTAAGGAAACATGAGAAACTAGTAATAATTGTCAATTCTAGATGATGGGTACCCAGGACTTTAAAAAATGTAATCCACATACTTTCCTGTATTTTTTAGTTCTCAAATTTTAAAAAAAACTAAATGTAAAAATGTCTTATTGGAAAATTTCAAAAATTAACTCAAAAAGAATGCAAATACTGCAAGTCTAATAACCTATAGAGTACTGACGATGCCCCAGAACATGAGAACCACCAACGAAAGCACCAAGCCCAGCAGTGTTATGGCTGAATTCCTCACTCATCCTGTGAGGACAGCATAATCCTGATACAGAAGAAAACTAGATTACTATTATTCCAAATTCAGCAATGTATTAGAAGAAAAATATCATTTTGCCTGAGTGAGGTGTACAAAGAGTGGCATCCATGATAACGAGGGGGAAAAAAACTCTTAATCTTAAATTTCAAAGTATAAAATTTAGTGATTAAAAAATAAAAAGTAAAATTTAGTAGCCATTATATATTTTTTCAATTCTTTGCAAACTAGGAATAAAAGAAAACGTCTAACTGTACAAAAAAGACACATTCCCTAGTCAAAAAACAAATGAGGATACACTCTGCCAGGTACTGACCCATAAACTGAAATAAATTTAAATATTCTAAAGAGGAAAGCAAATGTCAGTTTTAGCAGATTATTTAGTTGTTTACTTAGACATTCCAAGAGCATCTACTGACCAACTGTTAGAAGTAATCAGCCAGGGGAACGATTTGGAAGTAATCAGCCAGGGGTATGACCCCCCGCCTCCCGCCCCCGGCGCCCTGCTCCCATTGCCGCGCTTGCGCACGCACAATTGCGCATGCGCAGTTTTCACGCATGGGCCGGAGGAGAGAAAGATGGCGGCGCCCAGGTTCCCCACACCGCTGCACGGGCACGTGGGCCGCGGGGCCTTTAACGACGTGTACGAGCCTGCGGAGGATACGTTTCTGCTGCTGGACGCTCTCGAGGCGGCGGTGACGGAGTTCAAGGGGTGCGAGAAGAGCGAGGGTCCTCGCGGGACAGGGCTTGGGCGTCCTGAAGCGGCGGCGGCGGCGGTGGCTGGGCCAAGGAAAGGACTGGTGCCTTCCGTCCCGAGAGAAGGAGGTGTCAACTCACATAGCAAAGATTGACACCAGAACGCCGTCACTGATGATTTTCCTGTAGACACATGTAATGAGTGTGCCAGTGATCTGATTTTGCCTAAATTTTGTTTTGGTCTCAGGAGCTTCATACCTCCTTACCATGCCATGATGCGCATGCCCCTAAGAGCAGCGATATTATAACATTTAAAAATGATATTACGAAAATATTTCTTATTAATATAAAAATAGTAAATATTAAAAGCAGCGTGGTGTTATTTAATGTACTCAGTATATAAAACCACCTTCTAGCAATGGAAGGGCACAAAAATATAATGAGGTTGTGAGATGGAGTGAGGATGTATTTTTAAAGCCACTGTTTAGCATACCCAAGTCTGTAGCAACTGCCAATAGCCACCTAGGCACTTGAAATGTGGCTAGTGCGACAGAACTCAATTTTTCATTCAGTTGTAAAAAATTTAATAGTTACATGCAGCAAGTAGCCTAGAGAATTTTACCTAGCACCTTATAAATATAAGATCGACTTGTTGAAATGCTCGCTATAAATTTTAAATTCATAACAAAAAGAATGAATACTTACATTTTTAATGAAAGGAATTGGGTAATTAGATGTATTTAAAGATCAAAACTTGAAATGAGATTTCTCAGTATGAAACATAGCTGTCGGGCTTCAAAGATCTATCTAGTATTTTATCCCTCTTAACTTGGTCAGATTTTTCCATGTATAAAATGTCCCAACTCTTATTAAACTAGATTTTCATTGTAAACGATGGAACTTTTGATTTACTGGAATATAGACTGGAACAGTACTGTTTTATAACTTATATTTTATTCTCAAGCTATCCCAGAATGATTTACAAGCACAAATTGGCGTGCAAAATAATGCTGTAAAAGGAGCAGATTTTGTTATAAAGTTTTGGATATTTCTGGTCTTGGAATTTTAATTACTTATAAGACCATGATAGTTATTTTCAAATAGAAGCCGCCTAGTAAGATTCAGCAGACCTTGGTACAGCATAATAAAGGCTTGTCAGATATATGGACTGGTCCCAAAAGTTAGAAATCCCTAGAATTTGTTGTTGGGTAGTAGTGTGGGGAGTTAGGTGCTAGTGACACTCCGAAATCCCATCAGACCTATTTCTGTAATAGAGATAGTTGGTCCTTTCGATGTATATATAAGATTATAGGCAAGGAAATTTTAAAGACAAAATACAGTGGAATGGAGAATTATTTGGTAGCGTTCTTAAGATTATTATTAACATTCTAAGTCTAGATACTTCAGTACTTTCCCGACTCAATGTATAGCAGTACAAATGTGAAATTTCTTTCATGCTCTAAATATATAATCTGTAGAATGGAGGAACTTTTTTCTCTCAGATATGCTGATGAATTAACGTTCTATACTTTAAGATGATAGAGGAATGTCTTTCATAAATATTGTGACCCTATCATTTTAGGAAATACTAAACTAGGAGCTTCTTGGGGAAAGGGCCAATGTCTTTCATATAAAATTTCCAACCTGAATTAATGTTCTTCCATAGTTTTTATGTAATGTTTTATAGAAATTAATCTAAAGCCATCTATTAGATTACTATTTTATGGACTTAAGTTAAACACTCAAAATTTTAACAATTTTGAATTATGCAGTATTAAATGAACACAGTTTTGAGACATTAGCTTATTTATAAATTTCTTATATTTCCATATATTTGTGGGTGAGATATATTGCTGGAGAAATATGTATTAAAAGCATGAGAGTTATTTTCTGTGATATATATTTTAATCCTACTGCACTAACATTTTATTTTGTTTTTTAGAGTGGAAATATGCCTTGAAGTAGGTTCAGGGTCTGGAGTGGTATCTGCATTCCTAGCCACTATGATAGGTCCTCAAGTTTTGTACATGTAAGTGTAAGAATATAAAATTCACATCTTCCACCAAGAGATACTATAAGTACTATAAATATTGCTTGGATGAAATCATTTTTGTAAGTAGGTAATATGTTTCTGATAGTGTTTATTTAAGCATAGTAAAGACTCAGATTGCAAATTAGTTTCCCTAAAAATTAACAACTGCATGTTCAAAACTGTTGTCAGACTGACTAATGATAGAAGCAGCGTAAGGATTCTAAGTCATCTCTAAATTTTTTTTTAGGTAAATAATTTGATCAGAAAAAAATGTTATTAAAATTTCTTTTTAGAAAATTTGAGAATATAGAAGGTATAAAGAAGATAAAAATGGCCTGTAGATTTCACCACACAGTCCAACTTGTTTTTTTCATTTTCTGTGTTTTTCATTTAACATTGTGTCATGAGCATTTCCTTTCAATAATTCCTTTTAAATTTAATTTTTGATGACTGCATAGTATTCCTCCAGTAGATTCATAACTTACTAAATTCCTTCAGATGTGTGTGCAGATATGTGTATTCTTCTCTTGCACATAATATCTTTTTCATCAATATAACAAATCTTTTTTTTCCCCATTATTAAAGCATTCACATTTTTTTCTAAATTGCTTTACATAAAAGGAATGGAACATTCCTTGAATTTTTCAGTAACAGATTTGTGTTGTGGACATAGGATGTAGTTTTTTTTTTTTCTTTTCTAATTTTAGGTGCACTGATATCAACCCTAATGCAGCAGTTTGTACCCTGGAGACAGCACGCTGTAACAAAGTTCATATTCAACCCATAATTACAGATTTGGTGAGCTGTTAATCCTTGCCCAATAATAATTAATTTCCTTTTAAAATAAGTTAAGATCTAAATGATTTAGGTCAAAGAAACTTGAGTAATGAATTAGCTATTAACTCACTGAAGAGTATACCCCATAGTTTATAAAGTAAGTTCTTAACCAATGTAATCTTCCTTGTTCACAATTCACAGAGAATTTCTACTGGCTCGTGTAGATCAAACATCTTTCTGTCAGAAGTGACAGAGAGTCCAGTTCAAACTGGCTTAAAAAGAGTGGGGTGAAAAAAGTAGGGTGGCTTCAGGCACAGCTGGCTGTAGGAACTCAAGCGATGTTACAGGCATCTTTGTCTTAGGTCTGAATTTCTAATGGCTCTGTTCCCTGGCAGTCTTTCCCTTCAGGGTAACAAGATACTTGCTATATCTTATTATCTATATTTTATTTCTCAGTAACCCCCATGGAAAGAAACCCTTTTACTCAGTTAATCTAGCAAAAGCCCCCGAATGGGTAGTTTGGATCATCGTGGGTCATTTCCCTCTCTCAGTCTCCCACTTTGGCCAAGGGAGGTTGTAATTGAAGATGAATGACTTAGACCTGCATCATAGTCCCTCCCGCAGCTGGGCCGGGATAACCCTACCCAAACCACTTAGATTGCGAATGAGAAAGAGAGAACTTCTTCAGTGAAAGTCAAGGAGAAGTAATCAGAAGAAAGGAGGAATGGGTCCTGGGCTATTGACAGCAACAAATGACAACTACAGAATCATCATTTTACTTGATTATATTAATGAAACTTGGATAATTTTGACATTTTTTTAGTTATAAATATTAAGTGCCTTTTTTTAAGCAAAAATTTATAGCATGTACCAAGTTGTCATAAGAAATATAAAATGCTTTCAGTGCCCCTTGACCTGCATTCTTACACTAATAAGGGTATTTATTTAGCTTTTCTGCTTTTTAAAATTCACAAATGGTTTTGCAGCGTAAAACAAAAGTAGGCCAAAGATATAAGAAATTTTTTACATGTTACTAAAAGTTGTTACTGCTGCTGAAAACTAGATCGAGAAAGCTATTCACATGACTGACGTGAAATCAATATGGTGATTTTGCTCTTTAAATTTCTTAACTTGGTTCTTTAATGTATCCATAATTTGTATGAACTATGTTTTTTGATAAAATAAAACTTTAGAAATAGAATTCAGAATATTTTCATTTCTTTCTTTGATATCTAATTGTTTCAGCCAATGCATTTGCAATTAGTTAAAGAAATAGAAAGCAGAAAAAGAAAAAGAAAAATCCATCTTCTGATGTTTTCTGTCATCTCATGAAACATTTCTCTTGGTTATAGAAAACAAATGTTTAAGTTAGCAGCTATAGCTTTCAAGTTGTATACAGATCTGTGTAGAACATAAGCTACAAAATTTGAGTTTGCCTTTTTATTTTATCTTTTTATTTGAACTCAGTGTAAACATATGAGCTATCGAACAACAGAGATTTTCTTGAACATTTTATGTTCAATCTGATAGTTTATTTTCCCTATTTTTAGGTAAATTCATATAATCTTTATCTGAATGAAAATGTGAAAATATTTATCTCCATTTCTGTTTATAGGTGTGGCCTTTTAACACATTCTTTTTCTAAAAACAGATATTTTTAAAGATTGATTTAATTTATATTCTGGCTTAAAAGTATGATTATTGTTGAACATTTAGGTCAATGGCTTGCTACCAAGATTGAAGGAAAAAGTTGATCTTCTGGTATTTAATCCTCCCTATGTAGTGACTCCACCTGAAGAGGTAAGACATATAACAAAATTGTTATTTTCTGTTTTCTTTCTAACATCAAATAATTTCATCATATGACGTTAGTCAGCTGCTGATCAACACAGACTGCTCTGATTTTATTCCTAATCGTCAATGGTTGGGTACTATTGGTAGACATAGGAAAGCAACCTATAACAAAAGGAACTACAAACTGACCCATATGTATCCTTAACAGTCCCCTCTAGATCAGGCCATGGTATTTAAATACATGTGTGTGTATGTGTGTGTGTGTACATACATACGTACCAACATGTGTGCATACCCTTTATCATGAATGACAAATTTGCAAAACAAAATATTTGTTTGAAATGCATGATTTTAAAAATCTAATAATGAAGAGGTAACTCATATTAACCATCTCCCAATGTAAAGAGAGAATAGTCAAGGCAGACAGAGTTTACTAATGGACTAGGTGCTAGCTCTCGTTTGAATCATTGTGCCTGTTTTACTCTTTGGTGATCGTTCTCTGGAAAGGCTAATAAGATTAAATTCCTCTCTACCAAGATGAGAAAGGCTTATTTAGCTGCTGTTACTCCTAATGGCAATTACACAACTAAGAAGCTATTTCTGTGCTGACATGTGAACTCATGAAAAGGAAAGTCATTGTCATAATGTAAACAGCAGTTGAGGGAAATGCAACTTAATACAATTCTCTAGGCAAACACTATGGGAATAAATATAAAAAGTGGTAAAAATGTTGCAGTCCAATAATCTCAGTACTTGAGATCTAATTTAAGGAACTCATTCAACAGTAGAATATTGAAATTCACAAAAATTCTTATTGCATCTTTATTAAAAATGGCAAATAATATGAACCTATGTAACAGAAGAGAAACAGTTAAATAAATCGTGGCCTATCAGATCTACAAATTACAGGGAAGACTACTGGATGAAGAGGAGGTTCTGGGGACGTGGGAACATGAATGGGCTTCTTTCCTCCCACATCGCTCGTACGAAGCTATGTGCTTGTTTCTTGAGCCTTACAGGTTCCAGGGCATATAGAACATTGAAGGTAGGCAATTCCTTGGCCTCTGTCACAGTCCCAAAAGAGAGTGTCACAGTTCCTGTGGGACGAGAAGTTAGCTGGAGGACAGGATCAAAATGCAGCACAGCAAAGGTCTCCTAGAGCATAAAAACATGTTTTACAAAGTAAAATATAAGGAAATTAATGAAAAGAAAATGTGGTCTCTGTCAAGACCTAAATTAGTAGTCTGAAACCAAATGCAAGAAATATTTCAGTGCACAGCATATGAAGAGGAAAAGATGGAATTATGAAGGGAAGAGATAAAGAGAATTAGAGGTTAGATCCAGGAGACATAATATACAAGTAATAGGAGCTTATGCATGTAAAAAGTAGTGGCCTCTACTTACTAGTATACCCAGAAACAGGAGGTTAGATGCTATTGGTTCATGCCTGTAATCTCTGAAGGATCAAGAGCTGGTACAGCAGTAGGCCCAGGTAGCAGGCAAACAGCAGTCAACCAAACATGACTCCTCTCTCATGAGGATGGACACCTCCCTTCTGTGGCCTGTAAGAATGTGATTGGTACTGGCCAATCTTCCTGGAAGGTGATCTCTAGTGAGAGCAGATAAACCTGGCTGAGCATCGCTGAAGAGGTATATAAACGGTCCAGCACAAAGGGGTCCTAGTTCATACTGGAACAGAATGACAAAAGACAGTCTTGGCAAAAGCTGCCATCCCTAGGCACTCTGTCCACAGACCACTGTACCTAATGAAACATCCAGAGAATGGGCTCCACCAAAATAAGGGGGAAAACCAAGGAAGAGGAAGACATGAGCCCTGGAATAAGAAGGAATTATAGGAATAACAGAAATGGAAAGTCTCCTGGAAAAAAGTCATGACGAAAACAGAACTGATAAATTCCTTATTTAAAAAAATATGATTAATTTTGTGGAACATATTGAGACGCTTATGATAGATATGAGAATAACTTACATAGAAGCAAAATAATTAAGCAGATGGACACATTGAATGCCCATCAATAGCTACATAAGATGATAATTTTCCACCATATTATGCAGTCATTAAAAGAAAAAATTAGAACTATACTAGATCATATGATGAGATTTCCATAAGGTATTGTGTGAAAAAAAGCAAAATACAGGTAAGAATGTAGAATATAATCCTATCTTTGTAAAACATGGACAGAAAGAAAAACTGTGTGGATGTGTGTGGGGGTGTTGCGGAGTAGAACATGGGAGAGGAGCAGACAAGCAAAACTGAAGGGAAAAGTGCAGTTTTTTTTAAGCAGGTGTATGAACATATTTCTCCTATCTGTGAAATTTTATATGGCTATAAAATTATTTTTAATGAGGAAACATATGCCATGTTAAATGAATAAAAGCAGAGGTCACAATTGTATACCAAAATAAACTAAAATAGGGACAAAAACTTTGAAAAAATAGAAAATACTTGTATTAAGGTTTAACTAGTTTTTGATTTTTTTCAAAATATTTACTTATGAAAACAATATACAATGATAAGGACCTAAAGATTTTTAATACATTTATAAACTCTCAAGGGTTTTGCTTCTCCAATAGTATTAGATCGTTATAGGAAAAAATGTGACAAGTGAGTTCCTAAAAAAAAAAGTCTATATGATTCATATGTTAAATAATCTAGAAGAGAGCCAGATACTGTGGGGCATTTTGAAACTGTTTCTGCAAAGTAAATCTCTTATATTATAAGCTTTCCCTTCTAGTTTCTCCCAGTCGTTCTATGTTAAATGCAAGAATTACCTCTGTCTTGTTATAAGCATTGTATTAATAATATCAACTATTATTAAGTCCTTAATGGGAACAGGACACTTCGAATTTTATATTTCCTCATTTTTTCCAAAAAAAAAATAATTTTTTATCTTTTTTGCTAATCTTATAGTGGGAAACTATTGTTTTTCTAATTTTACAGTTAAGGAAGAAAGCTAATTCACAAAGATTACACATTTAAACAAGGTTACAAGACTAAGAAATGGTGGGGCTCAGATTAAATTTTGCTGCCTCCTGGACAGCAGAAAAATTCAAAATATGTACTTGTTTGGTGAATGTTACTTGTCAGAAAGATTCAGTGTGTGGTTCTAAATGGAATGTGACTTGTGTTAAAACATAACAATCCTCCTAACTGGTCACAGGTAGGAAGTCATGGAATAGAGGCCGCTTGGGCCGGTGGCAGAAATGGTCGCGAAGTCATGGACAGGTTCTTTCCTCTGGCTCCAGATCTCCTTTCACCAAGAGGGTCATTCTACTTAGTTACCATTAAAGAAAACCACCCAGGTAATACAGACCAGTTTATCTTTTAACCATGTCTTTTGCTGAAATCAGAAGTTAATAATGTGAAAGAGATAATTTATAAAGTAACCTGGAACGTTATGAGTATAATCACTGTCGACAGCTAATACAACACATGTTGAAAGAGGAGAGAGATTTTTAAGAGGTAGATCTGGGGTTTTTCAAAACGTGTTGTCTTTGGGGAGGTAGTTTTCCTCTAATTCGGGGGTAGTTTTCCTCTAATTCGTAAACTAATATACAAATACAAATCTGTAATTTCTCCTTCTAACACCTCACCCCCCATATTGTGAATTTTCTCTCCATCTCTAGTCTTAATGCTCTTGACAATTCTGCTATATACTCTTTAGTTCATCTGAAGTTTTATCATGAAAGCGACCTCATGGTATGGATTTTTACATCTTAGTTTTCAGATTACTTTGTAACTAAATTGAGGATAATCTTTCTTCTCTTTTTCTGTACACTTTGGTTTGGTTTTTGTCTTATACCTTATAACCTTAGCCCCTTAAATCACATCATGATTTACTAGGTGTTTTGGGAGTTTGTTTGTTTGTTTTTGGTAACTCCATTTTCTTAGTTCGGTCTTTTTAGTGTTATTTATTTGTAAAAGGGGTGGTTTTGCTTTTTTTTTAATATACCTGAAAAAAATAAGCTACTTTATTTACTCTCCTGTGCAATGTTACTATACAGTTTGCCCATACCTTTATTGATATTTTTTATCCACAAGGAAAGATAAAAGGCAAAGATTGGAGCCAAGCAACTAAAAAGCTAATTGCTGTAATAACAAGTATAATTGACATTTCTATTGAGTCCAAAGTGGGCTACCACTGCAAAGCAGGCCATTCAGTCTAATTAGAACTCTCAGCAACACCTTTAAAATACCGAGTGCTCCCATCTGTCTGAAATCCAAGTTCACTTTAATAGAAATTTACTTGGTATACATTGTTTTCTCAGATGAATAAAATTTGTAAATAGTCTATCACTTATTAAACTGTTTAGCAATTATACACACTTCACCAAATGATGTAATTGGATGTTACCTTTTGTTTTCATTTCATTTTAGAAGAAATTTTGAAAACAATGAAGATGAAAGGTCTACAGGGGACTGCCGTACTCTGCAGGCAAGCAGGCCAGGAAACCCTTTCGGTCCTCAAGTTCACCAAGTCCTAATACACAGTGTCTGATCTCTCTACAGAAGCTGAATGTATTCACCATATTTTGAAACTGAAGTCATTTCTTGATGAACAAGTAAAAATTGTCAGAAATTTGTCACATAGAAAAAGGTGGAAGGATTAGGCATTCTCTTTTACCCAGGAATCAAGCCTACAGAAATATTTGCGTAAATGCTAGTAAATACAGTGTATATATAGTTTGTATTTTATATATATTTTTATATTATATATGAAAGAATATTCATTTTAGCATTACCTATAATAGCAAAACAGGGAAATCTGCCAAAAGGTCCATCAGTAAAGGGATTGGTAGAATAGATTACAATATATTCATGAATATGAGTCAGATCTGGATGTACTGAACCAAAAGGGATTCATGATGTACTTTTGAGTGGAAAAAAAATAGAAAGTTGTATATTTTTGAAAACCAACAGAGAGGGTAGGTTTGTATGTGTGTATGAGAAAATCTTAGAAGATACCACGTGGGAATGGAGGAACTTTCATCTTTTGTGGTAGCATGTCCACAGTGATAATGTATTACTTATATAATTTTTTTAAGCTTTTATTTAAATTTTTTTTTTTTTTACTTTTACTTGTTTATTGTCTTCATTGTATAATTTAGAATGCCTTCTGCCTCCATTCTCCTCCCTGGTCAGATTTTTCCTACCTTTTTATCCTTTATCACATATTTGTTTTCTTCTTGCATATATATATTGCAAACTGCTGTACATTTTTTCTCAGATTAAGAATTGTATATAAACTCAGTATTCTTAAGGTAGTCACATTTTGAAAAGCTTATGTATGTCTTTCAAGAAATGTCAAATTACCTTTGTTAAATTTAGAAATCTCTTTTTCTATAACTTCCACATCATGCATAGGGCCAGAGTGAGAGGAATCTTGATTATAGTTTTGATGTGGCTACCTGAGAATCAGAATCACCTGTGGAAGCTTTTTAAGATTATAAACTCTAAACTTCACCATAAAAAATCTGTATTTTTAAAAATTTACTTCAGCATTCTTTAAGACAAGCCTGCCAAAATTGAGAACTATTGCTTTAAATAGTATTGTCATTTAATCCTTAGGACAATCTACAGAAAGAGTGGAAGTATCCTTCTTCTTTGATGTTCAGAAAGCTTAAATAATTTGTTCAGAGAAGCACAGTAATAGAGGTAAAGCCAGTATGGCAGCCTTGAGACACAGCTGTGACTTCAGAAACTTTTTATCCATTTGCTTATGCCACTTTCAGCAGCAAAAATGCTAAAGTTAGTATATACTCGAATCTGATATCTGTAAATGGATTCCCTTTCCCAGAAGTAGTGCCCTGTGAAATCTTATAAGTAACCTCTCGTATCCCAGGAAGAAAATAAAAAGATAGAAAAAAAGCCTTCTTAGAATGTTATTGTGGGTTTTTAGTCATAATTTTGGAGAATGGGGTCTTGAATATTTTTCAGATAATGTTTGAAACACTTTAAAATTAGTATAAAGGACTTCTATTATCTTAAGAGACTAAAACCATAGGAATACTACATAAAAGGCATTGTGTCTGCCCCTCCCTCCCCCACCCCACCCCCCGCAGAGTCACATGCTGAAGCCCTAATTCCCAGTACCTCAGAATGTGAGGTAGTTGGAGGTAGGGCCTTTAAAGAGAGAAGTTAAAATGAGTTTACTAGGGTGGGCCCTAGTCCACGCTGACTGATGTCCTTATCCAGAGAGATTAGTACATATAGAGACACACCAGGGTTGGCCGCACACAGAAGAAAGACCAGGTGAGACAGGAAGTTATCTGCAAGCCAAAGAGACAGGCCTTGAGAACCTGAACTGGCCAACACCTTGACCTTGGACTTCCAGCCTCCAGAACTGTGAAAAATTTCTGTTGTTTAAGCCACCCAGCCTGTGGTATTTTGTCACGGTAGCCCTAACAAACTAACACAGCAGCTAAAGACAGGGAAGTACCTACATTGTTGTAAAGAAGAGAAAGAATGCTGGTGTGAAAAGTGGGTGCTGGTGACCAGTAAGGACTGGGGCCCTGAGCCTTCAGGAGGAGAGCTGCAGTTATAGCTCCGTTGGCATTAAAAAGAGCTGTTAAATGTTCTTAAAAAGGGGGCCTGTAACACTACATCATTAGCCCAGAGAAAGCAGCAAAAAAATGAACTTCATCTGGACCTTGAATAGAAAGAAAAATGGTAATGATTTGTGGTCTGTGCTACACTCTGTTAGAGGATTTGTATTGTCTGTGTGGGGTACCAACATTAACAAGAAAATTTTAACAGTAAAGGTATCCAGACCATTGATCACCGCAAAGTTAAATTACAGTCAGTAAAAAATAATAGCTAATATTTTTCCAGAATTGATTTTTAAAAAAGAAGATAGATCCTTCAAGCATAAACAGACTAAAGGGAAATCCACACTTAGACATGTAGTAGCAACACTGTGAAACACCAAAGGCAGAGATCTTAAAAGGCAGTCAAAAAGAAGGCACAAATCACTGTCAAGTAGGGTTTGGCAAACTTTTTGTAACGAAAGTATTAGAACACAGCCATATCCATTCATTTGGTATTGCCTATGGCTGCTTTGGCTTACAGTGGCAGAGTTGAGAAGTTTTGACAGACCACAAAAGCCATAAGGCCCACAAACCACAAAATATTTACTGTCTGGTCCCTTTAATATGTTTGCCAACCCCCACTATAAAGGAATGATAATTGAATAACAATAGAAGCTAGAAGCTGGAAGCCAGTGGAAAAACATCTTCAAAATGTTGAGAATAATGGTTCTTTTGTGTTCCAGAAAAACTGTCTCAAATGAGGTTTTAAAAAGTAACATTTATATGTAAAAACAAGGACTTTTACCAATAAAAGATCTACAATAAAAGAAGTTTTAAAATATGTACTTAAGGAAAAAGGAAAAACATCCTCAGAGGTAGAGATAAATATGCATGTATGGTAGGCTGAGTAATAACTCCCTAAATGATCAGTGTTTTAATGCCTAGACTCCTGCGAATGTTACTTTGTATAGCAAAAGGAACTTGGCAGGTGTGATTCAGTTGAGGATCATGAGATGGAGAGAGAATCCTGGGTTATTCACTTGGCCCTAAATGTAATCTCAGGCGTCTTATGAGAGGCAATGGGAGATTTTACAAAAGAGAAGATATTAGGGTAAGCTGCCTGCTGTTACAACCCCAAAATGTGTGTGGCATAAGGAAGTCAGAGTTATTGTGTGCTGAGGTAGATCACTGTCCCGAACGGTTGTGGGAAGGGGGCTGACAGGAGGGGCTATATTCCATTAGTCATGCATCAGCCCAGAACCTTTCCATCTTGTGATGCCACCATCTCCAACATTGCCTTCCAAGGATGGAGGGTAACACATGGGAGATTTTCATGGGCCAATTTTATGAATGGCTTCCCTCACTTCCTCCTTTATTACATCAGCCAGAAACCAACCTCATTGCAAGGTCGGCAAAATTAATTCAGCCATCTCAGGAAGGAGAGGAAATAAAAGGATATGTAGAGCACTAGCAGCTTCTGCTGTCTGGGAACAATTCTCATTCATTGTTCTCTGTGATTCCACTCTGCGTTGTCTGTTCTTCCCCTTGGCCACATTTGAGATGGGTGTTGCCTGGTGCCACCACTACGCACAGCATGTGACCTGTAGTCAGCATGGAAAAGGAAAAGAAAATGGAGGATCGTGTACGGGAGATTTTTATGGGCCAGTCCGGAGGTAGAAGTATCACTCTGTCCACATTGCAATGGCTAGAACATTTTGGGGGCTTGGAAATTTTTGCTGTCAGCTTCCTGCCCAAGGTACATTTGAGAAGCACGAGGTTTGCTTTTTTGGAGGTAGGCTTTAGGTTTCTCTGACAATAGATTTCTTTGAAAATTGACTAGGCTTTTGATACATTTGCTGAGTCCCATATGCCAATCACTGCATCCAATTCATTTTGTCCTAGACATAGCTCTCAAAAGCACTTTATATCTTCTTTACATCCATACTTTTCTCTCAAAACAATGGTAGGGTTGGACGATGGGAAGATAGCATTCTTAATCTGATCTTAAGAAGACTATTATTTTACTGTTTGGAATCTAGAAGCTGTCAGATTTTTCAATCGTTCATTACCTCACATTTTTACATTCTCTCTGACTTCTCATTACTTTTTATAAACTAGTCCATTGTTTCCTATAACACCTTTCCAATATGCAGTCAATAACAGTCAACATCCACTATAAACAGTTTTCCAACCTCTTCCCTTAAAGCTCAGCTGATACTTAATTACTTCTCACAGTTTACCAATTGTTTTGCCAGTGTATAACATAGGTCACCATCTTCCCAGTTTCTGATATCAATTAACTCACCTCCCCCCACTCCACAAACAACTAAACCAAAACCACATATTTTAGGATTTTAGCATTCCACTTCAATGTATCGAGTTCTTTGTTAGTGAGACACAGTATAAGTTTCTGACTGCTTACTCATTCTGTAGTCTAATATGTTTGTCTAGGGGATGAAGAGTCCTCTGTGCCATTCGATCGTTGAGAGACTGAGGCAGGGTTCTTCTATTTTGTACCACTGTCACTTTTTGCTACTAAGTCAGCATGGTTAGAGGAAAGAAAAAAAATGGTGGATCATGCATGTGAGATTTTTATGAGCCAGTCCTGGAAGTAGCATAAATCACTTCGCATGCCACTGGCCAGATTTCAGTCAGATGTTACCAATATAGTTGAACTTCAGGTCCAAGAAGAAGAGACAATTCTTTCCCCAGCTAATTGTATGAGGCAAGTGTAACCTTAATAACAAAACCAGATAAGGATTGTATGAGAAAGGAAAATTGCAGGCCAATCACATCAACATAAAGGAAAAAATGAATAAAACTTCAACAAACTAAATCTAGCAGTCTACATAAATCAGATGATACACCATAACCAAGTTGAGTTTATCTCAGGAATGTAAGCATGGTTTAATAGAAAAATCTATAAATTCCATTTATCATTCTAACAGATTAAAGAAGAAAAACACATTATCATCTCAACAGATGTGGAAAAATGTGTTAAAATTCAATATACTTAGAAAACTAGGATGAGAAAGAACTTTTTAAACTGGAGAATGGCCTGTATACCAAATCTATGGCAAATAATCTTAAAGGAGAAATTCTGGAAGCATTCCCTTTTCAAATCAGAAACAAGACAAAAGATACCACCCATCGCCACTCCTTTTTAACTTGTCCACTGGGAGTTTTGGCCAGCAAATAAGAAAAATAAGTCAAAAAGGATAGGAAAGGATAAACAAGATTGAGATTATTAACAGATGATATGATTATTTACTAGGAAAACCCAAAAGCAGCTACAGACAATAATAAGAGAGCTATAAGATCAACATTCACAACTTATTTCTATGCACAAGGCCCCTCAAAAGAGAAAAATGTACTTTAATACCATTTACAATGACACAGGCAATAAGCCACTGTGAAATGAATCTAACATATGAACAAGACTAGCATGCATAAAGTTTTAAAATTTCATTAAAAAACATTTTAAAGACCTAAATAAGTCAATAGTTACTCTATGTTAAAGAATAGGAAGACTCGATTAAATATAAAGATACCAATTATTCCTATAGATACAGTAAAATTCCACTCAAAATCCCAATAGAGTTTTTTGGAACTTGAACAAATGACCAAGAACAGCCAATACACTCCCAAATAATAAGAGGACCATGGAGGAGCTTGCACTACCCAGATGTCAAATATTTATTTTTAAACAACAGTAATTAAGACAGTTTTGTATTGGCCCAAAGGCAAACAAATTAAAACAGAATAGAAAACCCATAAAGAAACATGTACATGTATAGAAACGTATGTATGATGGAGATGGCACTGCCGATCAAAGGGAATATTGTATGACTAGTGCTGCTATAAGCAACTATATATACATATATATTTATGTACACATATATACATATATATACACACATATATATGTGTATGTGTGTATACACACACACACACACACAAATTGGATTCCTGCCTTATGCCAAATACGAAAGTGCACTAAATGGAGTAAATTATGAAAGCCTGAATTTTTAAGTTTTAGGAAAAATATGGGACAATATCCTTATGACATCAAGGAAGAAAAGTATTTCTATAAATGATTAAAACACATCCTAAAAGACTGATAAATAAAGCTACATTAAAATTAAAGAGTTATTCATCAAAAGGCACCATAAAGAAAATGAGACAATTCACAAAGTTTTCGACATGTACAGAGATTAGTAGCCAGAACAAATAAAGAATTCTTATAAATTAGTAAGTAGAAAACCAAACAATAGAAATCCAATATAAAAGTGCTAAAATGATAATAGGAAAAATTATAAATGTCTAATAAATATATGGAAATCCCAACAATACTGTTAATTAGGAAAATGCAAAGCAGGACTAAATGAGATATTTTAGACCCATTAAATTAGCAGAAACAAAGTCTGACAATCTCAAGCATTGGTGAAGATATGCAATTGAGCATCTCACTACAGTAGGTCATGCCAGAATCAGAATCGACAGGTGGCACCAGTCTCGGCTCTCAGGAGTGAGGCATCACCTATGTTGATGGGCCAGGTTAGTCCCTGAGCACCTGCTTGACCTGCTTTAGTTAAGGTGCAAATGATCATTAGTGAAGTATGCTCACATGGAGGGCACGAGATGCAGTGACTACCGTATGTAACATGGCACTAGTACAAAGTGGTGGCTAAACTTGCCACAGCTAGAAGTGCTAGTAATAGAGAACCTGAAAGTGTCGATGCAAACTTTGGAGAGTTGGCCATAAAAGGAATTACAACTTCTGTCTTACTGTCTTGGATCATTCACTCTGGAGGAATCCAGATGCCATGTTTGTGAAGACAGTCAAGCAGCCCCATGGTATATCCATGTGGTAAGGGGCCACAGTCTCCTGCCCACAGCTGTGTGAGTGAACCATTTGGAAGAGGATCCTCCAACCCCAATCGAGCCTTCAGATGATGACGGCAGACACAAACAACATCTTGATCTCAACTTCAAGATCAACATCTTGATCTCAGAACCACCGAGACAAGCCATCTTCAAAACCTTGGCCCGTAGAAACTGTGTTAGACAATACATGTTTGTTGTTTTAAACTGCTAAGCTTTGGACTGATAACTAATAAATCCTAATAGCTTTCTACTAAGTATTATGCTTTAATTTAATGTGTAACATGCACATTATCGTCAGATATTGTACCAACAGAATGAATTTCCGAAAGGTTTATTTAGTTCCTTGAATTTTAAAAATTTTGAACCAATTTTGGCATTGATTTAACTGATTTATTTTGATATATCTCATGACATTGATAGAAAACTGGCATCATTTAACTGCAAAGTTCTGCTAATGAAATGCATTTATGTCTTTGATTTTCATATGTGAAATAAGAAGCAGAAAATAAATGAAATTATTGGAGCAGAAAATAAATGAAATTATTTTAAATTGGAGCAGAAAATAAATGAAATTATTTTAGAATAATCACTCGATTTAAATGTTTCACAGAGCGATCATAAAAGCACTTTGCGGTGGCTTGTAATAAAATCATTGTCTTTGAGCACAGTCATCTTAAAATAATCATGAATTTTTGAAGTAGATAGGCCCGCTTATTTAGCTGATTTGCTAAGTGCTGATACCTCCCTGGCTCCCATGGTGTATGGTAAATATCATCATCTTTCATTAAAAATTTTTGACTGAGTTTAAGCAAAATAGAACCAAAATTTAGAGGACTTGTTGGAAAAGGTTTGATGCAGTTGTAGGACACTATCAGTGTATTACAAAGTAGGCTCAGTGTATCTGAAACTCCAGTTATTGACTAGATCTATCTATGTTCTT